ACATCATATCACTTATTACCATATTCATTAATATGCAATAATCATCACTTTATATCAATTATCAATTATTCTCTTCCTAACATATAAATTCATACAATTTCAATATATTCTTATCATTCCATTTTCAAATACGCACTTTCAGTGTACTGTGATCACAATCATTTGATGCCTCCAGTAGTTCTTAAGGTCTTACTCAATCATGTAAATAGTTGCTAGTTAGCTCATATAATACGGATACAACATATGCAATCATGAGCCCTTAGCAAAGGCATAGTCAGGAGTCTAGTCGGGAAACGAGTGTGAGGCCATGTGGCGCATTTGCACTCAACAATAATATGTGCACAATTGCAAATGTTGCTCACCACCCTACATTTCTCCGAGATTTCCTTATCGTCTCCAGACTCTATACCCCAATGCATCTCTGTAACTATTTATATCAATTCATTCATAAGATCGTACTTAATAGCACTTCTAACTAATTCCATATTACTCATCACTTACTTATTATCTCAATAATCACATCATTCAATAAATCATCAATGACTCATTCATCATTTTTAAGCATATCTCAACAATAAGCTTATATCACATATAGTACATTCATCAAACCTGTTCCACTATAATATTATACTTTTTCATCATATATTTCATATTTACACAGTATAATCAGTTAACCAACCATTAAACATATGCATATTAGCAATCTTTCTTCATTAATACTCATTACTCATACATACCTCATCAAAATTGCTACATAAACATGCTTTCATGAACTCGACATATAACTTATAATGATAAAATAGAGTTTCCCTTACCTTATAATGAATATCTAAACGAAAATTGATGAAAAAGAATGTCCTAAAATAGCACTTCTACCTAGATAACACGAATTTGTTCCTTAAGAACAAGATTCAAAGAAAATGAATGGTAAAAATACGATTGAACTTAGGGAAACTTACTTAGAATCACTTAGAACGAACATATTTAGAGAATAATTGGTGTTTAGAGAGATTTTATTTGAGAAAATGTAGAGAGATTTTAGAGAAAACGAGGGTGGGACGTGAGAGAATGTGAAGAAATAAAGTTTTATGCATGAAAACCCTTAAATACTCTCTTGCCACAGCAAAAATATCAGATGAAATTGCACCTTATTTTCTGCACTTTTTGTTACAATGAGTAATCCTTGCTACAGCGAGACATCCTCGCTGCAGCGAGAGTGCTCCAGAATGTTTCATTTTCACCACCTCATTCTCACTACAGCGAAAATTATCTCGCTACAGCGAAAGCCTTACAGTTCAACACTTCAAAACTCTTCCTAACATACCCTCACATGCATATTTATCATAACCATGTAGTTTCAATTAATATAAAAATAGGGATGTTATAGTGTGGGTTTGTAAGCAAGCCAATAGGTGGATAAATTCTAATATCACACGAGTTCTTAGTGATGGTTGTTGCTTTAGTTTTTGGAGGGATTAATGGGTAAGAAACATTATATTGACGAATTCATATCCAAGGTTATTTTCTGCAATGGTTAATAAAGAGGCGCGCGTGGTGGATAATGAACGATTTGATATGGGCTATTGGATATGGAAAATTTCTTGGAGAAGATAATTATTTGCATGGGAGGAGGATTTAAAACAATAGTTGTGGGAGACTATGGAAGATAAGAGGCTGAGGAAAAATGTGAACATGTTAATGTGGAAGTGTGATGGTAATAAAGACTACAGTATTCAGTCCACTTATCGCTACATTCATAATTACTTCATTGCAAGTAGTGGTTTAGAGTTGTGTCTAGTGCAGGATTTACACAAAATTTGGAAGGTCAGTGCACCAAGAAAAACAATGGTATATGTGTGTTATTTGTTGTTTAATGCAATTCCAGTATGAAGGAATTTAACCAAACGCAGATTGACGATTTCTTCATAAGCTTTTGGATTTTGTGATACCAAAGATGAAGAGGTACCGCACCTTTCTTTGTATTGTGATACTTCTATGAGACTATGGTACATGGTGTTTGAATAGTTTAGTGTTAATATATGCTTATCTGAAAATTTACATGAAACATTACTGAGTATGTATGAAATTCGATGTGAAAAAAGAAAATGAAAGGAAATTGTAATGATGTATTTTGTAATAGTATGAACGATTTAACTTTATAAGAATAATATTATTTTAGATAACAATATACTAAATGTTAGTGAAATATTTGATTCTATCAAGTGTCATTTTTAAAAGTGACTCATGACATAATTGTTTGAAAGTTTAATTATGTGTATGAATTGATTTAATGATCTCTTATCATGTATTGCTAATTTTTTTAGAGATATAATAAGTTAGAGTATTCTTATAGTCAGATTTTATCTTTAATAAAATATTGATGATTAAAAAAAAAATTAACATGTAATACATTTTAATGTATGTAGCTAATTACATTAACATCTCACCGAAACACATAATACGTTGTGGTATTTGGTAGCTAACTAATAATTGAGTACGTGTCACACGCAATATTTAATGCTTTGTATTTTCACTTTGTACAATAAATTAACTGTTAAATTTACTTAATATAGTAATTTGATTTTAAATTATATTAAAATAATAATAATTTTTAAAACTTAGAAAGTTCTTGTCAAAAAGTTGTTGCATCGTTGTCTTCTCTACGAGAGATGTCAAAATCATCCTTGAAATAAGGTTCCACACGATCATCATTTTAACATATAATGGTAACTATTTTAATTCACAATTAAAAGCATTCCTAAAGTTATTGAACAACTATGTACCAAATTATTGTGATCAAACCTTAATATTCAATTTTTATTACATTCAAAATATACTGTTTTAACAATAAAATATATACAAATATATAAATTAATATAATTACTTCCGCACATTAGATGTGACATGTATCGTGTTATAGTGTATAGTGTGAACTGCTCCTTATTTTTCTTTAAAGCAAAAATTCCAAACTTGAATTAATTAAAAATCAAATAAATTGAAAATTAAACAAATTAAAAAAATAAAAAAAAATAAAAAGAACCGAATTATATTATATTTAAATTAATTTTAAAAATTGATCTATTCCATCCAAACTAAATTTATATGTATATTTATAATTTTATTTATAAATTTAATATATCGTTATAAAATCATAATATGTAACTATTTTTTATGATTTTTTTAAAAATTATTCATTCTGTTATCTTTCAAGAATATGTTTTATTATTTTTATGATTAATAAGAAATTTTTAATTAATTTAAAATTATTTTTGTATATCATATTTTTTATGTAGATTTTATAATTTATTTAATAAATTAACTTTATTTAAAAATAGTGTAAAAATAATGATATAATTTTATTTTTAATTTCTAGTTAATTTAAATAAACTATAAAAATTGAATTATCCAATTCAATCTTAACCACTTATAATTGAATCAAATAAGATTAGATTTGATATTTTTTTGAACTAATTCAATCACTCTATAATTTTATTATTAAATCAGTTATATTTTTTATTTTTGTAAAAACTGATTTAGTCGAATCCATAAATACCCTCAGTATGATCTACAGAAATTCCTAAATTTAGCCTTAATCTCATTCTCATGTGAAAAAAAAAATAATCTCAAACTCAAAGTCTTAAATTAAACAGTCTCTAGAGAAATTCCTAAATTTACATCATCACTATCAATTTATAAAAATTATAGAAAAAAAAAATTTTGAATCTAAATTTAAATCAAGATCGTGAGCGTTAATAATTAAATTGATTCACAGTATATTAAATATGACGTTTATTTTTTAAGTATCATTTAAGACAATAATAAATAAATTTAAAATGTAATTAATAATGTTTTTAAGCTTTATATGCTAAGTTTATAACAGAAATAAATATAATTAATATATAATTAGGAAGAATGTTTTAAAAGGATAATTAAACAAAAATAAAAACATCAATTAAATGAAATAAATATTGTAGTAAGATTTGAAAATAGTATTATATTTTTTTAGGATGAAATATAAGTTTAATTTCTATAATTAATATATATTTTTTATAAATTGTTTTAATTCTTCAATAAGCATTTTATACTTTTGTTATACTTTGGCCCTTGTCACGGCTTGTCATTTTAACAATGTTAGGTTAACACGTAATCAAATATTTGTATATAAATTAAAATATGAGTAATTTTTTAAAAATATGAAAATTAATTCATAAATTAAATGTTAAATTCCGGTACTAAAAGTATATTTTAATTTTAAATAAATATACAATAAAATTATTTTTTAAAATACAAATTCCTAATAATGTTAAAATGAAAAATTACAATAAAGAGGTATTTATTATAAAAAATTTATCATAAATATTAAAATATAATTTTTTTATGCATAAAATAATTCATAAATAATGTTGAATGTAAAGATGAAATGTGCAGTTTATCTATTCTTTTATAATTTGTTCCTATCAACCATCTTAATAATTTATAAAAATAATAAATAAATAATTTAAACTTATTTAATAATTTTTAAAATAAAAAGATAATATTTATTTATTTATTTAATATATGATAAAAACTATGCAATATGAATATTATGTATGTATAAAATTTATTAAAATAATAAGATATTACAAAATTTAATAATTTAATATACATAAATGTCATAAATTTTAATTTTTTATTAAATTTTGAAGATTAATAATGGCAATTAAATTTAAAATTATTCAAAATTCTTATAATTTTTAATATAAAAATTTTAACAATTTCTAGAAGAATCAAACTTTTAGAATGTCACAGTCAGCAACAGCTCATGGATTGTTCATCCTCGAATACGACGCGCTGCGCGACCGAATCTGTCACTCTCTTTTTCCAAACGACGACCGAAGTTAACGTCGTTTTATATTTTCGAGGTAATTCATGCCGATGACGTGGCCAAAAACAATTCGGAAATCCACTAGAAGATTCGTAGTCGCGTCCGTAGGCGATTATCCTTTCTGGTTACCCCTCGCCGAAGAAAATCGATTTCGGAAGGATATAAGAAAAAATAAAAAAACAAAGAAGAACAAAGGGTTTCTGAATTTTCATATTTTGATCTAAATCTGAGGAAAAATCACTTTAATTTGAATTAAAATTTGAGTTTCTCACACAAAAGGAAGGACATAGATGGAATCTGAGGATTTGGTGAAACAAGAATTGGAGGAGTTGCAGAAACAATTGGGGAAGAAGCAAAAGTTTGAAAGCGCAGTTTCGTCCCTCAAATCCCTTCTCCAACGCACATATCCATCAGCTTCTCCATCTCTTCGTAAATCTGTATGCTTACCTCGTTTCATTTTTCTATTCTTATTCGAATTTGCCTTTATAACTGTCTTACCAGTTGTTGCTGCATTCTTCAATTTAATTCCGTACAGCTTTTTAGGTTTGCTTTCTTTTTCTCTGTTTGGTTCGAAAAAACTATTTTTGAATTTGCTTGGACTGATAAATATTGTTATGTGTATGATAATAATATATAAAATAAATGTGTGGAGAACCTAGCTCAATGATTATTGTGCCAGTCATTGATTCTACTAATATGTTTGAACAATTTTGACTCGAGTCCTAGTGATTTTCATCGGTATGTCATGCGTAAAAGCATCTGGGAAGCAGGGTCACTTTGTTAGTCCATAATGAATACTGTATGAACGCTTTAAATTCTTGAAATTGCATTTTATAAATGGTTTTTTGAACATGTGCTCAACCACACACAATAAGAGAAGAATATATAGCAAGCTTTTATTGGAAGTTATAAAATATCACATGATTAATGCATTAATAACATCAACTGCTATAATTTTTAATAAAAATCTACTATTTATTGATTTATTATTGTCCGCAAGAAAATCAATTTAACAATTGTTTTAATTTTTTATTTTACAATTACCAACGTATACAAAGTGGAATACCACAATGATTAGATAAATTTTAGTATTTCATAGTTACAATGACTCATACAAATTTTTAAAACATGAATTTTAGATTAATTTTGTATATTGTATTATAGTCGAGTAGTGTCTTGTTGATTTTAAAAATATTCCATGTCTCTGTCTCATTGTACCCCGTACTGTATCCGTGTTTTCTTGGAAGACAACCCTTGACGAGGTTTGTGGCATATGTGACCTTTGAGTAGGTCAACCTTCCCTTTCTCTAAACCTACAACAAAATGTTTGTCATTGTTTACTCAAGAGTTAAAGGGCAAGTAATTGACTGTGGTGTTGCTGCTGGTAGTTTTATTCGGTTATATGCCGAGTTGCTACTGTGTTGAAGACCAGGTATACTGCACCAGGTTTCTGGAATGCTGGTCTGGGCCTTTTTGAGCAGGCTTATTTGCTTGTTTCTGAATCTTCTGAGAAGGCGCACTTGAAGGCTTGCATTGCTCAGGCCAGGGAACATTTGCATCTAGAGGAAAATCCATTACAAGCTTCACAACCTGCTGATAATCATGCAAACAGAGGTGATTTTCTTTTCAGAATGACCCAATTTTTTTCTCTCTTTAGGTTGTTATTTATGGCTTTTCATGTTCATGTGTTGTCTGAATCCTTCAGAAGTTTCAAAATCATTTTACCTTTGTCTACTTGTGTTTACTGCATTTTGTGTTGATTCAGGTTATCTTTTTGAGGGGCACCTCACAGTAGATCGAGAACCACCACAACCTCAATGGTTGGTGCAGTCAAACCTCTTGACAACAGCTGCTACTCTCTTTGCAGCTGAATCCTCTCAAGCTGCAGCAGCAAATGATACCACACCAGAGGATGCCTCAAATGTGCTTCAAGAGCTTATAAATAGATTGGAAGAAGTTGTGCCCTTGGTATTTATCTGAAATCTTTTCATTTGTTTCTGATAACCATTGTTTACCAGTTTCAACTTTTCTCTCTTAAATATAAATATGGCTTTGAATGTCTAGTTTCAGTTTCTGTACTTGGATAACTTTCAAGAAAGAGGTATAGGACTCAATTGTTTCAGCTTTTTTAAAAAAATGAATTTTAGAAGTTGCTTTTTGTTTGGTTACAATTATAAATATTACTTCTTATTTTAGTGGGTAGCTAAAATTTCAACTTTTTTTAGAAGCTATTCAAAACAGCTTCTCTCAAATAGCTAAAATCATATTATTTTCAGCTTCTGTTGATTTCATGATCTTAACCATACAATCTGAAAAACTGAAGTGTTTTTTTTTTTTTTTTTTTTTGGAAAAAGTGTTTTTTTCATGAAAAAAAAATCTTAAACAAATGGGCTCGTGATGTGGCTTAGTCATTGTTTGAATGAAAATAAATCAGGCAATTCTAGATTCATTTGAGATCATGGACAAATTATTTAGGCTCAACTAGGAACTGGTGTACACCTAGTCAACTTTGAACAAGATTTTCTTCTAATTATATTAAAGTAACAAAGCTACTTGAAGGTTCAATAGGATACTTCTTCACAAGAAATTAATGTATCAATGTAAACAGCCTAGGTATCAACTTGACTTCTATTTAAATCCTTATATATAATGTTCTTTGTCACGGTTGCTTTAGTGGATTTGTTAATGCATTATCTGAAGGGTAACTAGATATAATTATAAACAACCTGCTCAGTTCAAACTCTTTGTTAATTTCTTGGTCGTGCTGTTGCTCTTTTCAACTTGCTTTTTCATTGATATATGTATTTTGTTAGTATGAGCAGCCATTCCATCATTATACTTTGCATTGTTTAATTAGGGGCATTTACTGTAATTTGCTTTTTCTTTTTGGTTAGATGGTAGATGAAGGTCATGTAGCTCCAAGAGCTCCTCCTGCTAGTAAAGAAGTTGTGGCAAAACTTCCAGTCATTATTCTCACAGAGGAAATCCTGGCTAATTTGGGAAAAGATGCAGAGTGTGCAATTTGCAGAGAGAATTTAGTTTTAAATGATAAAATGCACGAGTTGCCATGCAAGCACACATTCCACCCACCATGTCTAAAGCCATGGCTGGTATTTTCCCTTAGTCCACAGATCTACTGGAAATTTTATGTTCTCCTTTTGAAACCAACTTAATGCATTTGATACTGTGGAATTCTAGAAGGAATGACGTGATTAAATATAAAGTATGTTCTATTTTATTCTTTTTGTGGCAGGATGAGCACAATTCTTGTCCAATCTGTCGCTATGAGCTGCAAACTGATGATCATGCCTATGAGAGCTGGAAGGAGCGCGAAAAGGAAGCCGAAGAAGAGAGGAAAGGTGCTGAAAATGCTATTCGAGGTGGTGAATACATGTATGTTTAGATTACCATTAAAGTATGGTTAATAATATTGTTGTTCTTGTAATATTGGATTTGTTAATTTTCATTTGGTGAATAGTGTATTCTTTATTATTGAAGCTGAAGAGCTAATTCCCCTCAACTTTTTAGGGATGTTCAAGTGTTTAACAAGAGTTCATAAAATGAAACCCAACAAGCCATTCAAGTTATAACTATCCACTTAAAGCCAAAATGTAATGATTCATCGAAAGCCTATCAATGGAGAGTGGTGAAACATGAACTCTGAAAGTGGGTTCACATTATATTTGTCCATGGTTGGTATTAACAGAATAAGGGACTACAAAACTTGAGGATCATTTTGGAAAAACATCAAAACGATTTCTTACATTTTGACGGACGAATGATAAGTGAAACAACTTCACGAAACTGACCTGTTAATAAAGTTGCAGGTGATTAACGCCAGCTGTGATTTATTTTTCCATACAATGAATGATAATCAACACATGGAGCATCCATTCTTCAATTTAACATGGAAAACTGTAGACCTCACCTCAAATTCTATAGCTGAGGTATCAGAAGCTTTTGCTCGACTGATATTTATTGGAAACATTTTTGGTGGTCAAATATTTGTTGAATATTTTTTTTGTCAATCATCTCTAACTACTTATTAAGGGCTTATATCGGATGTTGCAAATCTTTAGGTTTTGATTTTTTTAAATATAAATTTAAAATAAACATATATGATTATAATAGATTTAAATTAGTTTTAATATACTTTTAACTCAATTCTAGAAAATCATACAATATAGTTTCAATTTTAAATTGTATTAATGGTAATGCAACGTTTAAACTTAATATTTCTAAAAAAAAAAACTTTATTATGGTTATTGTCATTAATGTCATTCCTATTGACATTGTCTTCAATTAACTAGTTTCACAATTGTTGTAGCACTTCTATCATTGTTGTTATTCTTGGCATCACTTATTGATCATTATCATTACTACTACCAATCAATCATTAATAATATTATTGTTACTATTATTGTTATCACTTAAATAATTCATCACTAATGATATTACTATCATTACTAGTTAACCTTCGGCGTTGTCATTATTGCTATTATTAGTGAACCATCATTGCCATTGTTGTCTTTAATGTCTTTTTTTCCCCTCCCTTTCCAACCATTGTAGTTATCATTATCAAAATTTGCCGAAGTTAACCATTATTGTTTACCAATCAAACATGAGGGAATAAGTGTAAGTGATTTTTGTAGTTTGAATATAAAATTTAACATCAAAATTTGAAGATGAAAATGGAAAAACAAACTAATTATAAAACTAAAAATAGATTTTAATTCATAATGCTTTCAAAATTAGTAACCAGCTTGAATTATTTCTATTCGTATGTCTTTTTGGTTTAGGACTATATATGTTTTTTATTTTTGAAATTTAAATGAGACTTTGAGTGGTTTAAATAACATCTCTTTTAACTAAAAATCGTGCATATAAAAATGTAATCAGAGAAAAAGTTCAGATTGATTATTTCAAATAATTATCCTTTTTAGTCAAAATGATATACATATAAACAAAAGAAAAAAAATAAGGAAAATAATTTTGGTTCATTAGTTTGAGCAACTAGTTATCAAGTTTTTAAGTATGAAACCAATACTCAACATAAAGACAATGAAATTTCAGTCAGTTTAAATCCGAATACATAAATCAAATAGGACTATATTGGTTTGATTTAGTTTTTCAAATTCAACTGTTTATCTAAAATAACGAAGGGTCACGGATCTTGTTTATTGGAGCCACTAATCAATCAATGGGGATGACGCCACTCAACTGATCATCTCATTGGTTTCAAAGAATGTTTAGCCATTAAAATGATAAAACAACCTTGCCATAACACTTCCACGTCATATCAACTATACCACAAACAATCATAAACTGTGCTTATTTTGGACAAGAAATATTAGCATATATACCAAAACCTTCATAAAACAATCGTAATTAATGTGGTGTATATCCACCCAAGTATATTGTGTAAATACAAATAATGTAGAACCTCTCACTCTCCAATGAATATTTTCTATTTAGTCAACAGTACCGTATGAAGTATCAAGCTTAAAAATAAAACTGAAGGCCTTATATATAACCCAGCCACATTTTAGCTTGGTACTAAAAAAACAGACGAATAATGACAAATTCTCACCAAATTGCAACCATTATTGACTTGAAAGATCACTCAAATATACACTAGTGCCTGAGGCTTAGGAAATAAAGTAACCAAAGCAGCACCACAACTCCACAATTTGTGCATGCAGTGATAGTAAAATTGCTGCTTTTGTAAAGCTTCCCCAGAAACCAAAGTGAAGATACCTCCATGACAAACTTGTTGAACCAACAGGAGCCTTGGATCCTAATAACTCGGCATCTGTCAACTTCCAGGTTTTACTCTACTCCACCTATTTGCGGGTCTTGGTGAACTTTGATTCGACTCACGAGGCTCCACAAACCTATCACTTCTAGTTGCAGATCCCATTGCATCATTCCTGCCACCTCTCCTGTCCTTATTATGTCTCTTCAGATGACGATTAGGTCTGTGTCCACTTGACTTTTTTTCCTGTTCAAATTCATAGACCAATGGTTGGATCCCTTGAAGATCAGGTTCTGGAACATACCCATTTGGCCGCTTGGATACATCCATTCTTCTAAATGTTATTGATATCCTAGTAAAAGTTTTAACAAAGAGAATAGATCAATAATGGGATTGGTTTAAAAGCCACAGAGAAGATATATCAGAAAAGGAATACCTTTTCATAGGAACTGCAGGCACACAATGCTTAGCTACATCAGCTCCATTTCCATTTAAGACAAGTACAGATCTGGAGAAGAAAGACGACTTATAAGATTCTGAACCCTCAATAACAGTAGGAAAATAGATGAAGAATTCAAGTTAACTAGATCCAAAGTTATGCATTCATAGTTGAAAAATTAGACATAACAATGGATAAATTCAGATAGAATGCTTACCCCACAGGTAAGGGAATAGCAAATGAACCATCAAATTCACCAGGGCCCACAATCTTTAAGTTTGATCCAAAAACTATATTGCATTCACTAAGAAAAGAGACAGTGCAAAATGGTCGAACAAAGTCATGGTTATCTATATGTGGAGGTATACAGTCCCCTTCTTCATAGATATTAACAATGCAACTATCTGGCACACAAGTAGGAGGGAGTACATGCCACTTTATCAGGCGTCGAATGATGACCTTGAAAAGATGAGGTATAGGGTCTACCATTGCATTCTGAAGAATACCAGGAGGGTTGCCATCTCTGTCCTGTAAGCAGAAAGTTACAATTTAGGAGATATGTTCCTTTATCAAACTCAATAGCCATTATACTGTGGTCCCAATTATTACATTACTTGGTTTCCAAATAAAAAAATGTAAAGACAGCATCGAAGAACTACTAACCACAGCATAATTGTAACAGCACCCAAATTGGATGGTTTGACGTCCCTTGCCCCTCATCCACTTCTGTGGAGCAGAAAACGTCCGATCTGAAAAAGTTAACAATTAACATCATATAGTTCCTCAGAAATAACACCAACCGACATATTTAATAGATTGTCAATAAACTGTATCCAAGTGGGGCATAAAAAGGAATGTTATTTTTTTTGTTTTCAGTGTCTATGATGTTTAATTAGAATATGCATAAAGCCCAATGGATGTAAATTGAGCCCCATCTGCCCCACCATGCTTATTCCTAAATGAGAAGAATCATGTGATTAGTTTCACAGTCATTGGCCCTGCTAAGTTCAGGGTGATCCTCAAAATTTTGGAAACATGAAAGTTACGTCTACAATCTACATAGATTTGGTAATTCCCATGGCCAGTGTAGTCCAAGGCATAAAAAAGCGCTGAAGTTAGGCACTAGAAAGGGACAGTGACTCTAGCTGGTTGAGGCACCGTCCGTTCATTTAGGCACATGCATGCCTTCCTGATTGAGACAAGCCATACCTTATTGATAACTGTTAGAAACCCAACAAAGTGTAGCCACCTAACTTGATAGTTATGATGCCAAAGGTATAAAATACTCAGAATGTAAATTGAAGGTTCTAATATTTTGTTTTATATGAGACAGGCTTGACTAGTTAATTTATAAATCAACACCCACCCTCCATTCTTTTCTCTACTCTGAACTCTGAATCACCCTTGTTTTGAACTCTGAGCCCTCAACCTCCTATGTTCTGTTCTCTGTGAAATACACACCCTCACTTTTTTATTGAATGTTTAAGATGTATTATATTTGAAATATGAACATGTCTTTTGAATTTGGTTTGTTTGCTTGACCTTTATAGTTATTTACTTGTATGTTTTGTTTGAAATCTATGACTTTTTATGATTAATTATGAACATGTAATGAATTTTGAATAATTCTTTTTTAACTTTTTAGCATTTATATGTATATAGTATTCATTAGCTAATCTGCATATAAAATTTCAACATAGCAGCCATCACGCCCTGTGCTGTCTTTTTGGGGTGGGCAGCTACATGTTACTATCCAAGAATGATAACTATTGCTAGGCATATATCACCATTATTCACATTTAGCATCTATCAGACTCAGTAGGATTGCGAGATACTAACCAATAATATAAATCAATACGAAGTTGCAGTTATAGATCATCAAATTCCTGATATTACTTTAAACTATTCAGCAGCTAAGCAGAGGAATGCTATAAATAATCAGATTACATTTCTATTAAGAGGAAATATACAGTTCAATCCATGAAAGATGTTACTTGTGTTGCTTTAATCCCCCAAAACTTTGTGTATACAAATTGGACCCCAAAATTCTCAACTTGCTAACAAAATCACCCCACCAAAGTTGTCTTCTAGTTAACAAATTCATCCCTCCAGAGAACAATTTGGATAAACAGAAACTTTCAGGACTAAAGCAACACAAGTAACAAATGTCAAATTGAATATTTACTATTTACATTAAATTCGTAGCATCTAGATGCCATGCAGCAGAATGTCTACAATTTTGGACACACATTAAATTGCATTAGGCACAGCTTTTTTCCTTCTTTCACAAATGTAAATTCATCAAACAGCAAGGATTTAATTAAAGTCAGAGGTCAATTATTGCATCATTAAACAACAACAAAACAATAAAGCAGAAAAGCGCACAACAAAAAACCAAAAAAGATAAAAACAAAACAAATGACATAAAAGGGTGAGATGAGATAACAAACCTTTCAATTCACCCTTTTTGCCCTTCTCCTGCAGAGAACTAACATAATTAACAATCCTTCTCTGCTCGGCAGCACTAAAAATCCCAGTGTGGAGTTCAATTCCTTCAAGAATATTCACAAGCTTCCCATTAACCCTCTCAAAGCAAAAGAAGTCTTTCTCACGCCTCACATTCATGAACCTTATGTACTCCCTCTGCTCCCTAGGCAAAGTAGGTTTCTCAGCAACAACCTTAGTCACTTCAAAAGCATTTGAATCAGCGACCACAACATTAACACCATTGTTGTTGCTATTATTATTGTTATCATTAGGTTCATGCTCTTCTTCACCAAACTCATCATCTTCTTGGGCCATATCGGCCCAAGACATTCTTGGGTTTGGACTCTCCACATTAGAAGTCACCTCTGCTCCATCTTTCCAACTCCCAAGAGAATGTGCGTCACAGTTATCTTCACCATCGTTTACCTCGTCGACGGTGTCGTTTTGAGGCCCTGCACGTGCAAGCAAAGTAACCAAACAGCGTCAGAAGTAAAACGCGAAACGAAGCGAGACCCAGTTCGAAAACTCGAGAATTTAGAAGGAAAGTGAGGGTTTTGTGACCTGGGTCGATGGAGCGAATGCGATCGGAGAGTGATTCGGTGCAGCCGGTGCAGAGATCTCGCGAGAGGAAGGGAAGCCAGGTGGCAAGAAACTCAGAAGCTGTTCTGAGATCGGAAGTTGTGTAGTTGAGGAGAAAAGGGTCGGTGTTGGAAGCGTTAGGTTGACGTTCTTGTTGCTCTTGGTGGTCGTCCATGGCGCTGAGTCAACTCGGATGCAGAATCGGAGAATGGAAAGAGAGAAAAGAGACCGCACAAAAAGATACTCTGCTTGCTTCTTCCTTCCAGTGAATTTTACAATAATAATTATAAGACAAAATAAATATACTACGAGTTAAAATTTCTAAGAAAATATATTTAATCTATCTTTAAAAGAAGATATTTAAAGATGTTTTCTTCTGTTTTAAGTATATTTTGAAAGATAAAGATAATGACACAGATAGTATTAGTTTTTAGTCATTTAAATAAAGAAATCAAAATTTAAAATTTAAATTTTTGTTTGTGTTTTACTTTCTTAAGTTTTATCTTTCTTGTCAAAATTTCACTATCTAGAAAGTTATTTTTTAAAAAACTTACTATCTTTATTGTCAAAATTTCATTATCTAGAAAGTTATTAATTTTTTAAAAAACTTACTTTATCAAGATTTATAACTTTTTTTTGTCATAAGAAAAAAAAATAAAGATTATAACTTAATAAAACACATAAAAGATACGTCAGTTAAGTATTTATTTCTAAGGGAAGGTATTTGACTTGTCAAATTATGATATATTAAGCTTAACTGAAGAAATAATATAAAAATAATATTTTATAAGAGTAGGACTAATAAAAATATTTTATGTGAAAAAAACTTTGAATTTTTTTAATGATAAAACTGTATTTATGAAAATTATATCAAGTTGCAAACAATTTTTTGTTTTTTTATCTATTGGTGAGGAAATAGAAGACTGAAAAATAAATATTAATTATGGTTTAGGGTTCTGCGTTATTATTAACGTGGAAAGTGATGTTACGATGCTTTAAAAGAAAAAATCATCTCATTTTATTAATGTCCTTAATGAATTTTGTTTAACTTTTAGATTAAAAATTAATTACACTAAATTCTTCCTCTTTTTCTTTAAAAACACTAACTCTGTCCTAATTCATTCTATTAGTAACTCTTTACACATTTTTTCTTTCTCTTAGTTGGGTAAATATTTAGGAATCTCTACTACTCATCAGAAATTAAATAAATATTATTTTAATTTTTTTATTGATAAAGTTAGGAAGAAATTATCCCTTTGGAAAATGAATTATTTATCTCTTGCAGGGTCACTCTTGCTTAGTCTTGTCTCATGAGTATTCCATCTTATATTATGTAAGTGCATTTTATCCCTACTGCTATTTGTAATGAAATAAATAGCATTTGTAAAAAAAATTATTTGGAAATCTTTGAGAGGGAGTAAGTGTCATCTAATTTCTTGGAACAAAATTTGTAAACCCAAAGATAATAGAGGTCTTGAATTTAAAGATCTCCATATGTTTAATAAGGCTTATCTTATGAAATTATGCTAGAGGCTTGTTACCTCTCCTAATGATTTATGGGTCCAAGTTGTTAAAAGTAAGTACAAGTTTTCTATAGATCAAAGACCTAATATTGGTTCTGGTCAGCATTTTTCTCCTCTTTGAAAAAGTTTAGCTGTTGTTTGGCCTTTGTTTTCTCAAGGATTAAATTAGATCATAGGTAACGGCCTAGATGTTAAGTTTTAGATTGATAATTGGATTCTCCTCATTAGGGATCTTCATAAATATGTTATTCAACCTATTCATGATTTAGATCTTGACTTACATGTAGCCATTTTCTCTTCTAGGGGAGTTTGGAATTGGGATAAGTTGTCTTCCTTACTCTCTGATAGTATTTACCATCTTATTACTCAGCTTAAACTCCCTTCTAAAGGTTAAGATTTGTTGTTCTGAAGCCTGACCATTAACGGGTCTTTCTCTTTGAAATCTGCTTATCAACTTACTATTAAATCATCTCTTTCCAACTATCCAGCTAAGAATGTTTTTAAATTGGTTTGAAAGTGAGATGGTCCCTCTAAGATTAAGTTCTTTCTTTGAAAAATTTCTCATGGTAAGCTTCTTACTAATGAGGAACAGTTCAAGAGAAGAATGACATATAACTCAATCTGTTCTAAATGCAATGAGGCTCCTAAAACTCTCATGCATGTTTTACGTGACTGTCCTTTTGCTAGAGATGTTTGGAATCATTTTATATTATCTAACTATTTTGTTCAATTTTTCAATCCCGGTTGGAATAGTTGGTTGTCTCTAAATTTATCTAATGAGTCTCTTAATAATATCTACTGCTGGGACATATTGTTTGGGATTATAGTTTGACATATTTGGAAGAATAGAAATGCTTTTATTTTCCAAAATAGTGTTATCTAGTCTAATATCTTAGCTCAAAAAATTCTCTGTGATTTTGAGTTTTTTAATGATTGTTGCAAGAACCCTTCAATAATCTCTCCAAGTTATCTAAGGATATAATCTCTCTAAAATGGATCCTTCCTACCTTTGGGTAGCTGAAATTAAATGTTGATGGTGCAATTTCTGTTGTGAAGGGAATGACTGCTTATGGCGGTCTTCTTCAGGACTTTCAAGAAAATTTCATTGCTGGGTTCTATGGTAGACTTGACCTATGTTCTCCTTTAGAAGTCGAGCTATGGGGCATTTACATGAGGATCAAACTAGTTATCCATAAAGGTGTTGAAGCTATTTGGGTAGAAAGTGATTCAAAGGAAGCCTTGTCCTTAATTTTGAGTGTTCAATCTAGTTTTCACTCTTTGTACCCCATGATTCAAGGGACGAGAAATCTTTTGAAATTTGTTAAATTTATCAAGTTTGGCCACATTTGTAGGGAAATGAACCAATATATAGGTTAGTCAAAAAAGGCTTAAAGGAATTAGTTCCTTTTTTCATTCTAGAGGATACTCCTCTTTTCTTGTATTCCTATCTAGGTATTGATTACTTTGGTTTTTGGACTCCTAGGAAAGTCCTTTAAGTGTCTTTTTTTTAGGCTTTTAGCCTCTTTGATTAGTTAAAAAAAAAAAAAAAACCAACTCCTAAATTTTATTTAGAAGACTGTCAATTTGATTCATAAAAGGAAATCAATTATATATTTTTTCAAAAAAGGATAAAAAAAATTGTTAACAATTTAAATCTAAAAATTATTTGGGAAGATTTTTATCTAATATTTTTTAATTTAATAAAATAATTTTATCTATAAAAATATATATAATAATAATTTTATTATTATGATTGTTATCATTGTGGTGTTAATATTTAAATTTGAATTTCATAATTTAAAAATTTTATTTGAAAGTTAAAAGTTTCTCATAAATATACTAATAAGTTATTAAATGTTGTATTAGTATTTTTAAATTTAATTTTTTATATAAATGAAATTAAAATATATAAGGAATAAAATATTTATTATTATTAAATAACAATAAAATCAGTTTTCTTTTGTTATGTGCATTAAGAAATAAGAAAATATAATAAACATGAATTTGGATTATCTGTAGTTTTGGCAACAACTACAACTTGTAGTCTAAATTCACTTAAGTAAAAAAAAATTTGCTTAAGCGAAATTGAAAAACAATGATTTTTACTTAAGCGAATTTAGTAAAAAAATATTTTTTACTTAACTCAAAAAATTCACTTAAGCTAAAATTGTAAAAAAAATTAAAACTTTATCTCCTTCATCTCTAAACTATAAAATTTTTAAAAAACCTTTATTTCTTACCAATGACTACTTAGTTACTAAAGACCTTTACATATATCATCCAACAAATATCACAAATGTTATTATTTAGTGTGTTACTTGTACTAATCATTAGTAAGGTAAAATTATTTAGAATTGAGTTAAGTTATTGAGAATGACGATAAAGATTATAATAACGATAACTCTGAAAAAGTGATTGAGAAATAGTTGATCACATGATATTGCATAAAGTTTCTCAAATTTTTTGTAATATAAAGAGAAAAAAGTTTATAATTTTGGCTTAAGCAAATTTTTTTTGCTTAGTGAAAATTATTTTTTTATCAATTCGCTTAAGCAAATATTTTTAATTTAAACAAAAATCATTTTTTTCTAAATTCGCTTAAGTAAATTTAGATTGTAGACTGTAATTTCTACATAAACCGTGGAAGATCTAGATTCGATAAATATGTGTTTATTATCAATAACGCGTATTTTTTTATTAGATAAAAATAAATTAAAATAGCATGTTTAGAATTATAAATAAATAAATAAATTAGTGGAATTAAAACTTATCATATTTTTAAACAAAGATAATTGAGTTAGATAGGTTTTTAATTTTTTAAAATACAACAAATTTTGATTTGAGTTTTTATAATATTATTTTTTATTTTTAGATTTTTAGTCATCATGAAATAATCATAACCAAATTTGATATTGTCCCGTATCAATTTTGTTACCTGCGCCACTTTTTTATAAAGTTATATAAAAAAGATATATTAAAATTAAAAATTTTTAAAAAATGAGTTAATGGAGAAATGAAATATGAAATGCAACCCTCACAACATTCACTTTAGACCCTCACAGCATACACAAGTACTGTTTGATGCACCGAATATGAGCCAAACAAGAGTACTGCTTCATTTCATTTCATGCACATATCAAACTATTTCACTAGCTAAGTATACATTTAGACGTGTCTTTTCCTAACCCAACGCTTTACATAGAATAAAATTTTACTTTAAAAATATATATATGATACACTAACAAAGTAAATTTATCTCATTTTATTAATTTATTAACAATAAATAAAAATAAAATAGAATAATTTATTTTATCCTATTTTTTTAATCAAATCCTTTAAACCCTAAATTTCTCACTATGAATAAGTGATGTGGGTATAATTGACAAATCATTTTGTTTTTATATCCTCACTCAAAATTAAAACGAGTTTTAAAATTTTTTTAACAATTATTTATTATTTTTAATTTTAGTAAATCAATTCATAAGCTATCCATCGAGTTAGTTGGCTAAGTTAAATCAGCATTTTTTGGTCCATTCAAATGAGTCGACATTTTCACACCGATCCATTTTTATATAAAAATTTATTATTTTAAAAATGGAGTGTTTCTAGGAGTTAGTTTTTTCTATAACGTTTTAACTAGCTTTTTTTTAACATTATTAGTTTCTTTTTTAATTTAGTATTAATTTTAATTTTTCAATTTACATTTTTATTTAATTTTATTTAATATAATAAAATATTAATTATTGATTATTATAATATTTACTTTTTAAAATTTATAAAATTGAAAAGTAATCATACAGTAATAGCAAAAAAAAAAAAGTAATCATACAGTATATTGGTAATTATTTATGTAAATATTTTTAATTTAATTTAATAATAAATGCAGTGCAAAAAAAAAAAATATACTAGTTAAATAAAACACACAAGTAAAACAAATTTTGTCCGCATTTACGTTCTTGGCTCTAGAGAATGGAAATTTACTGTTAAAACTTACTGTTTGATTTTTACGATCAACATATTATATCCAAATTAAAAATAAAAAACGAATAAACCTTTTAAATTAGACTAATAATTGTACTTAAACAAGCAAGCAAAACTTTTGTAACAAGAAAAAGAACTACGACCAATCCTTTCATTTCAAAATAAAAAATAATAATTTTTAAATGTGTTGTAAATTAAAAAATATTTTATAATCCTTTTATATGTGTAATAATTATTAAGCAAAATTACTTTTTTCATCCCTTAACTTTATTATAAAATTTATTTTTTTATTTTTTTATTTTAGTTTTTTAACTTTTAAAAAATTTCAAATATGTTATTTTATGCTAAAGACCTTATCTTCGTTTGCAAATTTTGTCGTGATACATGTAATATTTGTTACTATTCATCATTTTTTTTAGATTTCTAATATAGTTTTTGACAATTTTTCTTTTCTATTTTTTTTTTCTTATACTCAAAATTCTATCTTTTTATCACTAATATCAAATACTTATTTTCAAATCTCGAATTGTAAACAAATTAACTTTTTAAATATCTATTTTTCATTTCTGACAAATCAAAATACATATTTTTATTTTTTATTTTATTAATTTTTTATACTACCCTAACTTTTCAAGTCTTCATTAACAAGAATATTGAACATAAATTGAATAAAAAAATTATGCGATGAAAGTGAATTTTATCTTAATATATAATTATTTTTTAATTTTTAAAATTTGATGAGTTAGTAATTTATTTAGAAGAGATATAAATAATTTTTAATTTTTAAAATATGAAAAGAATTATAATTTTTAATTTTTAAAAATATATTATATTATGAATATCGTAATAAATTCTTAACTTTTTATAGGACTTTAAAAATAAAATTGTTAAACATAAAAAAAATAAATCACTTTTTAATATTTATTTTCATGATAATAAAGGATATTTTTTCAGAACTAGATTCATTGGTTAACATCGGACATCTTTTGAAAAAATGACCGGGAAAGACCTCAAAATCGTGGCGGAATCTTCAACATATGTGGCAACCTCTGCAACATCCAATAACATGAAAGTTACTCTAAACAACTGAGGAGCACAAAATTTATATATTTAATAATAATTCATTACTTTATTTTGGACCCCACTTCTTACAGGACAGTGAGTTCTTTTAATTATTATTATTATTCATTTCCCATATTCAGTTGCATTTCAGTAGATAATGGATATGGCTACCTCCTCCTTCGTCTTAGGCTCAGATTTCAAATACATATTATCTTTGAAGAATACTAAGACCCTGTCTGGGTTTGGTGCATTGAGACACACACACCCAAATGGTTTATTCAGTAAAAGCTTCCACTTTCACGCTCTTTCTGCTAGAATGGTGAAAGGTACTACAAAGATGGTTTCTGATGTTTATGTTGGTGGAGACACAAGTATTAGAGTCAATAGCAAGATGTACACCAAGTTGGACTCTTGTTTGGTGTTTCCACCTACTCCAAATCGTGCCAAGCCTCGAGCAATAATCAAATTCATTGGTGGTGCCTTTATTGGTGCTATTCCTGAAGTTACTTATGGGTATTACTTTCTGTTACTCGTTTGTTTTTTCAATGCAAATTTTGTTCTCTGTCATTAATAGCTGCTTTTCCCAATTGGGTAAAGTTGATAAGTTTTATTTTTTATAATTGATTTGCAATTTGCAGCTACCTTATTGAGTTTTTGGCTAAGGAAGGTTTTGTTGTGGTGGTGGTGCCTTATAATGTGACATTTGACCATGCTCAAGCAGCCAAACAAGTATATGAAAGGTTCCACACTTGTTTGGATACAATCCTCATATCTGGGTTGCCTCCAGCCAATTTGTCACCTGCTCAGCTTGAAGGCCTTCCTCTTTTCTCTGTTGGCCATAGGTTGGTGGATTGCTTAATGTTTAGTATCTGTCTTACTGAATTAATGTCAAGAAAGTAATGTTTTTCTTGTTTTTTGAAATCTGTAGCAATGGTGCACTACTTCAACTACTCACAGGAAGCTTATTTTCTGAGAAAATACCCAAGGTTTGGTTATTTTTGTGGCTTCCACAGCACAGGATTGTACTTCTCTATACACAAAATAATTTTTAGATATTTCAACTGGACAAGAGTATTTTATTAGTTAAATTATTATGAGCATATTTTAGTTTGTGGAAGCACAATGTACATTGTGAAGTTTCATTTACTTCAATAAAATTTACTTATGGCAATTCAAGGAGTGTGACGTAAAGGTATATATCTCTTGTGGAAGGCTAATGCCATAATCTCATACAACAACAGGCCAGCAACGGAGGCAGTCCCTTACTTTGAACAGGTATTAACACTCAATACTTGTTGAATCCTTGTACTTAAATTTATTCAAGAGTCTTTCTAGACTAATATAATGGTTGATTCTTCTTGTTGTAATAACCAATAGGCTATGTTTACCGTACCACTAGAACTTAGTTATGAAAGTTAGAATTAAGTTTGGTTGAGGATGCTAAAATTGTGGAGGATTGCTACACTACATAGAGCTGATAGAGGTATAAATGTTAAATACTACTTGCTTGACATATGACTTTTAATATGTTCTTTTGAGACATATTTGTTGTTTGGAAAGGATTCCTTGATATTTTGTATTTCACCTGGATATCCGGTTTACACAAAATGATCAAGGTTGAGATGAAAACAAATTTAGGCAAACTAAATACCGGTTATGATCATGTTTGAAACACACCACTGAAATCAACATGCTTTGTTAAATAATTTCATATGGTCTTAAAGAGCAAAGATGTTCTTCAAAGGGCCACATACTGTTCAAATTCATGCTGTATTTCAGCTGATAAAGCATGGTTGTAAGTTCATCTTTATGTTGCTCTAAAACTTTGCAGTGCTGCCCTGCAGTTGGGTCCTGCAGTCAACCAAATGATGGCAGTTATGGAAGCAACTCCTTTTTATTCAATAGCTAGAAATGCATCAGGTATCTCCTTAGCTTGCTTCGCTCGTTTGGCTGTTTTCAAAAGGAGTATGATAGAACACTGTTATTTAATTGATAGGAAATGTAATAGAACACAGAAATACAGCATTTAATGTTGCTGTCCCAGGGTTTTAGAAACTCCTACAGAGCACGATCTCTATCCAAGAGAAGAAAAATATTATCATAACTATCTTTCATACAGAAATTACACATTATATTCTAAATATGTAACTATAAACTCCAATAGCTACAAATTACATTCTGAATAAATAACTTCCTACTCCAATAAGTGTCACGACATTTAATTTTAATTCCTACGCCTCCTACAGTAAACCTGTAACACAGGTGGTTTGATTGGATCCATGACCCTACCAGGGTAAACAAACAGGCCATATACTTACTCCTCGAATTACTAAAGTCTCACCAGAAGGAAACATTACCATCATTGCTCAATTTGTTAAGTGAATGTGATAAAATTATGTGTCTTTATATAATCCTACAGTTCTACTTATTCATTATTTTACCAGTTACTAGAGGAAGGTGATTTTATATGTAGAGAATTTAGAAATTTAGATATGATATAGTAATTTGTTCTAAATCAAAAGTCTTATTCTAAAATTCAAAGTTGTTGTTGATCCTCCAACGATGTAATTCTGCTGTTACAACCAGCAGAACCAATTGTTGCTCTACCACCTCAACACTTGTTGGAATCTTTGGTGTGTTCAAAAGCTCAATAGCATGCATAGTTCATAGAGTTATATATGTATGCATATATCATTTCATAAATTAACAATTTGTGTGTCCATAATGATGATGCATGTCACTCCCAACCTATGTAGGAGATGCATGGAAGATGATGCTGGATACTGTTGGATCAATTCTACAGGAAAGTGAGCAGGAAATATTGAATTCCTTAACTAAATTTGTTGATCAGTTGCCATCAGTAATGAATGAGGTACATGTTAATTTTTGATTTTGGAGATTACTTTACACTGTTTATTTCATTAGGTATGTGTTAATGGGAAATCCTTGTAGGTCAAATTTTGGAGTTGATTCATGTGCCTCCAGATATTGCTTATGGCATCCCTGATTTTTTTTTTTCTAGTTAATTTTTCTTCTATTTGATGCATATTATATCTGAACTCAATGTATACATAATTAGGATGATCTTTGTGACCATTGATCTACTATGATTAAAAATGATTCACTAGTATGAAGCCAAACTTGAGAATGGTTGAGTACTTGTGTCTTTAGTTGACTGTGATTCTTATTGTTGGAAATATGTAATTATAATAATGCTGTAAATAGAAAAGTTAATATCTTTGTAATTATGGTAATTAGGTAAGTAAATATTTTATTATTTAAATCATGTATTAATGATTCCTATTATTAAATAGGTATAACTTATTTTACCTCTAAATGAGTATGTGTGTGTCTCTTTGTGTTATTCCTAACCGATGTGAGATATCTTAACACATAACTTATATTACCTCTTAATGAGTGTGTGTGTGTCTGAGTGTATTTTGTTGATGCATATATATCTGTCAGGTTACACAAGGAATATCAGAGTTCAAGCCAACACCATCCGAAAACCGAGATTGCTTTAAATGTTCATATAATGTTGAACACACACTGTTGGTTTGTCTGATGCCCTATACCTTCTAACCTATTCTTGAAAGATGGTGGTCATTGGTAAGATGGGTCTGATGTCTATCTGTCTCTGTAGGTGAAGTTCAATTTTGACCCAATTGATGAGACAGATATTCTTGAAGAAACAATAAAAACTCGTGTGGAGTCATTGGGTGGAAAATTAGAAAAAGTACAATTAAGTGGTAACCACATCACACCATGCATTCAGGTAAAACATCTTTGCATCCTCCTTCTGTACCATATTACAGTGAAGTTTTCCTCTTTGCTGGAATCTGCTTCTGAGTTGTCATGGCAATGACTTGGTACACATGCATATTGCTTTATTTGAAAAATGAAATATTTGATATATGCTATGTAAGTTGATAGATTTAACTCTTCTCAAATACTGGCAGGATAGCAGATTTTGTGATTAATATTTCAAGAATAACTTATCCAGAAAATAAAATAAAATATTTCAATCAAACATTTTTCCTTGATTTACCTTTGTTTAATTTATTATTTAATTTTTTGATGGCACATACACTAATTAAATTCTCTAAATTGGATATATCCTGAAATAGTTTTTGACACAACCATGGACAGCGGCGGAAGCATTAAAATAGTGCCCATAAGTTTGTAAGTTTACGGAAAAGAATAGATACGAACATTACTCATACCTATATACGCACCATCTTGCTATCACTATGGCAAATTTATTTGATTGAAGGAAGTGTGAATTTTCATAGACTTGTAGGTTTTTCTTTTTAATTTAAATTAAGTATGACTTTGCCTTTCTGTGTAAAAGAAGATCTATGATAATAATATCTAATGATTGCTTTCCTAATAAAAAGCCTTACATTTCATTTCATTTCAATTTTTTCTTTTCATTATTGACTGGTTACACTGGGAGATCAGGAACCAAGATGGCAAGTGGGTAACTTGTATACTCCAGCAGATGCTGTTGCTCAAGGGCTTAAATCTCTTTCTCTGAATGAGACCAGAATCCTTGCCAGAACCATTAGCGAATGGTTTAGAGGCTTTGAGGATTGAAGTGCCAGAGAAGACTTGCATTGCGTACTTAATACAGTATAATTTTGGCTATATGCAAGATGAGAAGTGGTAACGTAGAAATATATTATCTAGCATATTTTTTCTAAAACATTCTTAGTTATTGACTAAAATTTATTGAAGACTACGAAAATATGAATGCAAATCATTAAATTAAGAGTGAGATTCCTATGATTTTTGTGATTTCTAATAAATTTTAGCCAATAATAAAATGTATTTGAAAAAGTATGTTAGAGACTAAGTTGCTAGCATTTCTCTAAGCAGGATAATGCATGTTTTGGGATTGGAACTTTAAATCCGAAGGTGATTAATTGAAACCCTATGTAATGTATATGACTTACAGATTAAAGATCAAAATACGGCGCTGTAGCTAATATCATTAATGATTGATGTACGTTTGCACATGCTTCTTTTCTATCAAAGTTATGCACATATATAGGCTGAATGCCATTCTATATGGTTAGAAGTCTTCGTAATTCAGTATAAGTCTTGACTTTAGAGTTTAGAGCCTCTAAATTTCAGGCAAATTTGACAGACGGCTCATCTGCTTGCAATTTCAGATTATAAAAGCTATTTCAAGTTATTCTATAGATGAATACTAATATCGGCAAAGAATGAAGCAAAGTGCTAGCAATACACTCCTCGAAAGACTCTTAATTATTAGTTGAGTTTACTAGAAATCCAAAATTTGTGAGTTTTACTTTTAATTTAACGAGTCTCACTCATATTTTTATATTTTTTTAATAAATTTTAATTAATATTTGAGAGTGTGATAAAAAAAAATGTTAGAATGTGTGTTCATAACACTTTTCAAGAAGAAAAACCATGTGGATGTAGTCATATATGCAACAAAAGGATGGGTAAGACCTGCTCTTATGGCTTGAAATGACTGTGGGAGTGATCCATCATAAATCTGTTACTTGGTCTTTAGTGTGTCAAATTGTATTGCTAAATACTAGAGCTTGAATAAAAAAAAAATTGAAATTCACCTAGATCATGATTTTAAATTTTGGTTGCATTGTAATTATTGAAATTGTAAAAACAATAGACATATATGGCTGATGCAGTCACAGTTGTGGTTGTAAATTAAACCAATTTTACACAAATATATTTTTATTTTATTTTATTTACAAACTTATATATGTTTCTATGAAACTTTTTAAGGCAACTTTTTTGTAAATTGAATTATGAAAAGAAAAAAAAAAGTATTTATTTAAGAAGTGTTTGGTAAAAAAAATAATACTAACTAAGCCAAACCAATATTTTTCCTTTGATTCGGTTTTAAAAACTAATTGGCTTAGTTCATGTTTTTTTTTTTTTTGCTTTTGGCTTAAAGCAAGGATTTGTTATTTCATTTCAATTTTAAACTGCCATATTTATATAATAAATTACTAATATTAGTCTTTAAGGTCGGTATTAAGTAATTAAAAGAGATAATTTTTTATTGAAATATAAAATATTTACTATATCAAAATACAAAAGTATAAATATTTTCTTTTTTTGATTAACTTATAATGTTACTCCTTATACTTGACTTGCTTTCGGATTTTATCCCTATAAGAAAAAACTCAACATTTGGTCACTATATGAATTTCTCTTTATTTAAGTTAGTCTCTGTTATGCAGTGACTAAAGCAAAAGTAATATGTCATGTGTGAGAACAAAATGTAAAGCTTTCATATGTAGGAATAATAATAAAAAAAAGTTTAAGTATGGGGATTAAACCAAAAATAGTGTCAATTATATGGATTAAATTTAACTTTGTTCTAATTTTATAAGTGATAAGGATTGGTTCATAAATGACTTTTCTTATAAGAATCAAAATATAGGGATTAAAAAAAATAATGTCAAATATAGGAATCAATTTGATAATTAATTTCAATAAAAATGACCTTTTTTAATTGTTTAAAATTAACTCTACAGACTAATGTTAACAAAAGTGGAAGCCTTGCCTTATCCCACCTTTTGCCAATGGGACCAAAGGATAGGGTCACCACCTGTCAAGAGTAAGGTTGGCAATGTTGGTGGTGCTCACATTTGCTCACAAAGAAAGGTGAGTAGGAATAGGAAAGTGTGGGTGATTTTTACCCTTTTATTTTTAATCTAGATTTAGATTATAAAATTTTTTAGAGGAGACAATCTATCTTGATTCAGTGATTCAGGTAAGATCAAATGGTAAATTTCATCCAAATATTTAATACAAGATTTTTAAGATTTGAGCTCGAGATTATTGATTGAAATAAAACAACAATTTCATAGCAGGTTGGTTCATGCAATCGGTGGTCAAAGTACGCATGCCTTTAAAATAACGCAACCTTGGTCAAAACTTTTCAGTTTGAACAATTATTGGAATGGAACCAAATGTTTCTGAGTCTTGTGAGCATTGCGCAATAAATTTGTCTATGAAACTACTTGTGATCTTTCTTATTTGGACCAGCTCACTGGCATTGTTGGATGGCCATGGTTTGGTTTTGGTCCTATTCTACTCTGCACTGCCTTTACTTGGGTGGGGAAAACCAAGCTTCATGTTCATGTATAACGTTTGTTCATTATGATGCAGCAAATATGAGCGTATTTCAATATAAGTCGTAATTTATCTTCATGATATAAGTTTGCATGAATGTAAACTTAATGTACTGTCACTGCTATCACTACTTGACTCTTATCAAAATGCTCATGTTTGGCATCTAAGTGACTTTATATGCATATTATCCATATTGTATTTAGTAGTGATGCTAAAGAAGAGGAAAAACATGATAAGTACTATCACAAAAATGAATATACAAAAGGAATGTATACGCAAACGGTTGTTCTTCTGAATTATTTGTTGGTATGGTGAACCATATAATATAAAAAAATATTAACAGAAACTGTTTTTTTACTATACTTTTATATTTTTAACGAAATCAAATAAAAATTTTCCTCATTCTAGATTACTTAAAACCAACCCTACAAGCCGACATTACTAAAACTATAATATAAAAAACATATAGGAAAAGAGGAAGGACTATATTAGTGGGACTGCACTTGGTTTATGTGGTATTTATCATATTGGCGTGTAGGTTGAGGTATCAATTAAAGCACAGTGTCTAGCAAGGTAGAAGGAAAAAGTATCTTCTATTTTTGTATTATACATGAAGAATTGGCATTGATTGGTTGCAAGTTGTCAATAAAAGTCATAGGTAAAACTGAAGTTACATAAAAGGTTGTTGTATGCATCAATCAAATTTCGAAAACATTAATTTCTGTAGTGAGCCTCCATTGCCCTTTTTATTTATTTAATTGTCTTTATAAAAGCTAACAACTCTGAGAAGTGCAGGGAAAATTGGGATACTGCAATAGAAGGAAAGTTGGTGGTGGTAGTGGCAGCTTAAAACATGAAACAGTGGTCCCACAGATGCCCACTTATAGCAGAAAATGACCTAACAATTTGGGGGAGGCAAAGGGGGTGAATCAATGTGAAGGACACCATTCTAATTCATAAATCTTGTCACCACAACACCGTTAATAATAATATGGATATTTAATGCCGACAAAAATATAAATTAATATGAATATTTATTGTTTACTGATATATATCTCAAAACCTCAGAGGGCCCAATCCAAGTGGAGGCCACAATGTGTTATTTATTGATGAGAATGGTAAATTTCCTGTTCTTATTTTATAATTTTAATTTTATTCTTTATTTTGTTTTATTTTAATCCTTTAATTTTAATTTTTTTACATTTTTTTATTTCATGTTAATCTTTTAACTCTATTTTTTTTAATTCAATTCGATCCTTATTATTTTATTTTATTTTTAATTTGGCCTTCTAATTTTGTTTTAGAAAATTAAAATTAAATGAAAAAATGTTAGAGGATTAATATAAATTAAAAATGACTAATAAAATAAAATAAAATAGTTTATTAAAATGAAACTAAAAAAAGTTAGAACTAGTTATCTTAGTTAGAATTAGCTGTTACAAAGAATGTTAAATGGTTTGTTGATCACTCAATAAAGAATGATATAATCTGTCTATTAATTTTTAGTTTTGTAAAATGTTTGCGAAAGTAAATAAAACATTATTGCTATATTAAATTTATAATAATTTTTTATTTTATATATTTTTTAAAAAATAAGAAAATATTTATTAGAAATAAAAAATTTATTAGAAATAAAAAATTTATTCCCTTCCCTTTTCTCTGCAACCTAATTTCCGTATATATCCTTAAGATATTGTAAAGTTTATTAGTGATATTAAAAAAAAATGGTTTGTTTTTTTCTCTTTAATAGATCCATATCCAGAAAACCCGCATAGAGTCTTGTTGTTTTTTGTTTCCTTAAATTTTTTGAAACTTTTTTTTATCATTAAAAATTTGTTGACTAATGTTATTTTTTATCTTCTGTGTATTTGTATATTTTTTTAAAAGAAAAACAAACAAATAAATAAAATAAAATTTCAAATATAGTTAGCCTGTGTTTTTATATCTTTTAAAAGGCTATACTATTTTAGTATTTTTCTTCGTAGAAGAAAATAAGCTAAGTGGTTCCCAAACTACTCTAAAAAAACTAGTTGTTTTATATTTGGAAGAATTAATAAGTAACTTAGGAAGATAACTTATACATTTTTATAATTTTTAATTTATTTTAATAAATTAAATAGTCAAATTTATGATATAAGATTATTAAATAAATACTTAATTAAGTTGTGTATCTAAATATATGTTAATTTTTTTTTAATTAGAAAAACTTACATTTAGTTTGTTATATCTTTACTATCCTATTTTCTAATAACAAAAATAAGTAAATAATAACATGTGCATTTCTTAAAAATTAATTTTACAACATAATTAATATTGAAAACAACATTTACATGTATAAAATCATTTAATTATATAATTTGATAGAAAATCATAAAATCATTTAATTGTATAATTTGATAGAAAAAGTCTAAGATATTTAAAATTTTCACAAACACACACATATTAATTTTATTTATATTATCAAGATTATTCCTCTCATAACAAAGCATTTTATTGGTGGCTTGTATCATTGACACGAAGCCCCCCTCAAAAGTTTAAATATATGTTTATATTATAATAAAAATGGTTGATAATCAAATTAAAATATTACTGTAAAATTTAATAGCAAAAATAAAATATTACTGTAAAATTTAAATTCTTAAAATGTCTAAATATTTAAAATTAAATCTACAATACTTTGAGTTATTTGTTAAATTTAAAGTATATATCAGATAAAAGAGATTAAGAGCATGTTTGATTACTGTTTTAAAAATAATTTTTTATTTTTAAAAATAAATTTTAATATAAATTTTTATTAAAATTTATTTTTAAAAATGAAAAACTATTTTTAAAACAGTAATCAAACATATCCTAAGTTCTTACTAAATAAAATGTAGAAAAAAGAAGAAGACAATGATAATACAAATTTAAATAAATATTATTAAAAGATA